TCATTATTTGAAAGTCATTGCACTGTAGTTCAAAGTAGGGCTAGAATGTTTATGACAAATCAGTAAATTGAAACTCTTTGTCTTCTATTATATTTTGAAATATTTGAAGTATAAACTGACTTAAATCAGAATTGTTCATTTAGTTGGTTAATTCTTGTCTTCTGAATAAATGTTTTTTTACATGCCTTTTTTTTTTCTGTTCATTAATTATTTCTTTTAAGGCTGTCACTTCTGAATATTTGTTTAATATATATGTTTAGAATAGTGTGCAATTTTTCATATTTTCAAGCATCTCAAAGTTCACATCAGTAATGGAATTCTAATAATTTGTACAGGAAACTACAGTAAAGCATATGTAGAAGATACTGCAGAAACTAAGGTTAGTGTGAGATAAGTTGCATCTTCAGAGATAGGAATAATTCAGCAAGTTACCAAAGGTTTGATAAGATTATTGCATGTTAGAACAGGTTATATTGTGTTCTTTTTTTACTTGTATGAGCTACAACTGAGGTTGTAAATTACACCAAAGCATTTTATTACATTCACCAAAAGATTTGACCTAAGCTGTTTCTACTTAAGTGTTTTTGTTTGATCTCTTTCTACTACTCATCCCACCAAATATTTAAAGCTAATAATCAAACAGATAAAAAAAGAAAAATAAGACAAGATAGATAATCTTTTTATGATTTGATATTTCATAGTTTTATTTGTATAGCACAATTATGATTTACTGAAATGAGATCACACAATTTTACTTTTTATTTATTTTTTATTATCTGATATTTCGTGTTAGATGCTGTTTTTGTAATATAGGAATTGATTTTCAGATTTTCCCTTTAACTTAAAATAAACCTGTTTTGAATTTAGCCAAGCCTAATGTGAGCCTTATACCTCAGCTTTACACTCAAAAAGTGTTAGGACTCAACACTACTGTTCTGTTTTTCTTAAGTTAGTATCAGTTAAAGTATACCCTTTATACATGATTGTACAGAAAAAGTTTCTCGAGTCATAATCTGTTCTTTAACAAAAAAAATGAATGTTTATCAACTTTGTTACTAAGTTACATGTTTCATTAAAACTAATTAGTTAGTAATGTATAGAAACTTGAATATATTCAAACTTTTGGAAATAATATAGTTAGTTCACAGTGTTCATACTCTGTGATCTAATGGAGGTTAAATTCATAATGGTAACAGTGAAAAGGTGTGATTATTCAATTTTCTCTAAAGCACAGTGCTTAGATAACTTAAGCTATTGGATGGAAATTATATGATTTGCAAGAGCCTTCCACAATGTCAACTAACTTTTTGTAATTAATATATCAGCAGTTTCTCTTTACTGTTACATGGTGACCTGTGGGAGTATACCTCTGATCTCTTGTCTCACAAAGGAGACTTTGCATAAATATTTGCATTATTATTTATATAAATGACCAACAGCACCGTACACTGGCCAAGAGAATCGTAGTTACTCCTGCACTTTACCCACACTTGGTTGAATTTCTTCACTTTGACATTCAGAGCACTGAGCATAAATCACATTGCACTGAATGTGAAGTTTTACTTAATAAAATATTCTTGCTTATTGTTTAGGTTTAGTTAGATATATTATTTTTGGTCTTTTTTTTTTTGAAAACATAAGGAGAGTATGTGATTTAAAAAAATTAGAAATAGACAAAATTTACATTTTATGGAATGATAAAAAGATTTTAGAGATTTTTAGAATATTGAACTAAAACATAAAATTAAAGAATTTAAATATGGAACAAATTTAAGTATTTTAATTATTTCTTATAAAACCATTTCTAATGAAAATTTCCAAAGATTTTAAAGCTAATAATGCATTAAAACTAAATAAATTAAAATTAAGGTACTTTATTTTCTGAAACTGCTAGTTGTGGGAGGACCGGTAACAATATCCCCAGATTATTTTTGGTCATGTGGAGAGTCTTCACCTGAGGGTAGGTAAGGCTCCTCATATAAGAGTGAATTCAGCAATGCTGGTTCTTGTAGATGCTCGTTGTTGTTGCATCTTCTTCTGTACGTTATTAATATTTGGTCGACATAATGAAAATATGATGTACATATACATTTGAACTTAGACTTAAAAGTTCTATGAAAACATTTAACAATTTCAATTAACAATTACATTTTTACTATTTGTTATAGACAGGTGAAACCAAATGTATCAATTGTTACACACTGTCTATTATATGTAGTCTGTTAGAACAGCAGCATACATAGTGTACACACATTGTCTAAAACTTAAATTGTTGTAAATAATACCTAACCCATGATGCTTGGATTCTTACACTGTGTATCAAAAACAAGTGTCATTATAAAATATAGGAGTTTTAGAAATTTAAAATAATTATACATTATTATCAAGTATATTTTATTAGTTATTGGTATTCTGGAGACTTGATAAACACAAGAAACTAATATTTTGTGTACGTTCGAGGTAGAATTAGTGTGTGTGTGTGTGTGTATATATATATATATATATATATATATA